TCACCGCCCTTCAGCACAAGTGTGTCATGTTCCCGTGCAGCGACGGGTCTGAGCTTGTGATATGTATGAAATGTAAGTTTTACTCCTCCCACGGCGCCCTTCGAGGGCTGGCTGCTCGCTGCGACCCACCTCCCAGCAAGTTCGGAGTATGGGTTTGGCAGCAGATCTGTAAGAGCCGGCACCCTAAGAGGAAGGGGGTGGTGGTGCAGTTGGGAGTGAATCTCCGTGACGGCTCTAATCTATTTCGGGACGGTTTGCCTGAGGCTGTGAGCGAACCCGTGCCCCCTCCCCCTCTTCCGCCTGCTGCCCCTTGCCCCTTGCACACGCAGGGAGAGTCGGCAGGTATCTCGAAGGAGGATGAGAAGGCACGCGAGTTCCAGGCCAAGGTACGTCGTCTGTGCACCGCGGCTGGCGCCGCACCGTCGTCCCCAGCTCAAATTCCCATTGCTGTTCAGGACGACTCTTCAGATTAATAGCCGCTCATTTTTTGTTTCGTTTCTGGTCGAAGGTGCTGCACATGTCACACGTTTGTCCAGTCAGGCCTTTGGCATCGGGTTCTCAATCCTTCAGGGATTCGAGACTGCCATCGCCTCGTCGCCTCCCGTCGCCCACCTGTTTGTGGGGACTGCAGGCCTTTTCTTGTTGCAGGCTGCAAGCGCCATGTGCAGCCTGGATGCAAGCCCCAATGAGGGACAGTGGAGGTGGTTGAAGCCCCAGGGGGAAAAAAAAATCCTCGCTATCCTCACGTTTGCCACGTCGTCCTCGTCATCGACTCCTCGTTGCCCTCGCCTTCCTTTTCTTCTTCGCCCACTACGCCCATCAGACTAAAGCGGCGCTTCCCGTTCTTGTCCGATCAGGTTTCTCTACTTACGGAGTCCGCGCCGCACCCCGAACCTCGCTGGCGGATGACGGGAAGCGCGCAGTTTCGCTCGAGACATCCTCAACAAATCGGCTCTGGAGGGGTCTCCGAAACCACATCATCTTGGAATCGCTCCTGGAGGGCTCCAAAACGGCACAAGAGAGCCCCCGAAGGCTCCCCAGAGGACACCTAAAGCACCCCAAGAGACCCCCAAGAGGCCACCAGGAGGCGCCCAGAGACCCCCAAGAGGCCCCCAAGAGGCCCCCAGAGGCTTCCAAGAGCACCTGATGAGGCCCTGGGACTGCCACAGAGAGCCCCAAGACAGTCCAAGAGGGTCACAGGAGCTCCCAAGAGGCCCCCAAAAGGTCCCCAACGGGCTCCCAGCGGGCCTTCAACAGGCTCCTCAGAGGGCACCAGAGACCCCAAACGAGCCCCAAGAGCCCTAGCCGGTACGCGAAGTCCATCATGTGCCCAGGTCGGCAGATGACGGGAAGCGCCTCTGGCGTGCACCGTTCTTATGAATCCATTTTTCTCTGCGTATGGGGTTCGAGCTGAACCCCGCTCCGAGAGAAGCCCAAGACGGCCCAACAGGTCCCAAGGGACGCCCAGGAATGCAATATTCATTGATTATCGCAAGGCTTTTTTGCTACACTTCAGTATGTCCTAGCAAAGTTTCGTTGACGTTCTCCACCATACGTTCTCTGACATGCGTGGTGAACGAAATCGGCGCTTCCAGTTCTTGTCCGTTCAGGTTTGATCTGTGAAAGTGTGAAAGCGCATCCCGATCCCCCCTCGCCTTCAGCGGGGAATTTTGATCTGGGAGGAGTGCCGAGAAGTGGCCAGACGAAACGAGCTGTGAGGTGGGGCTCGACTTTGCGACATCGTCGAGCGGAGCTTGAGCATGACCTCCACGGGTGGGATGAGGACGGAGGAGAGGGAGAGAGGATGGGGCGGTGGGCCGTATGGATTCCAGGAGGTTGAGAAGATAGCCGAGCCCATCTATTGCGTTTCTTTCAGTCCAGGTGCGTGCCTCGTCGTTCTCTACCCGGGCCCGGCCAGGCCGCACGCCGCCAGGGCGCACTGGCCAGGCCTCGTCCTGTTTGCGATGCCTCGCACCATTTCAGACGCCTCTACGTCTGGCAGCATGTGCATGGCAGGTTCGGAGCTGGTCTTACTTCGGAGGTCCGGGTCACGCTGGCCAGATGACCTCATCACCGCCTCTCAGTTGCGCCAGGTTCTTTCGACCCCTTGCTATAGGTTGTCAAGGCCTTCCTCGTTCCTGCTATTATCACCCTTCCCATCTTGCCCCCCCTCCCCTTCGCCATCTCCCCCTCCCTGCACTGGCAGCCACTGGGGGGGGGAGAAGGGCGAGGAGGGCGAAGGAGGAGGAGGAGGAGGAAAAGGAGGAGGAGGAGGAGGGTGGAGGGTGGAGGGTGGAGGAGCAGGAGGAGGAAACGGAGGAGGAGCAGGGAGGAGGAGTATCGCCTGGGAGTATCGCCGTCGACCAAGCAGCCAGGAGGCTCAGGCGCTCCGAAAGCATCGCGTCTGAAATTCGCCGCCACACGGGCCGACCCCGTGCCAGACTCCAAACGGCCAAGCCTTTGGCCCTCAAAGGGCCGATTTGTGGTCGGATGCCTTCCGCTCCACGGTGACGGCCAGGAGGTGCCCCAGCCCCTCTCGCATCGCTGGCGTCTCGGCGCCAGCCCCTCGCGGTTGCAATCCCCGCGCCGGAGTTTGGGCAAAGGCTACCTTCACCCGCGGATGTTGCGCAGATGCGCGGAATCGTAAGCCTGCTGTGCACGACTTCGCCCTTCTCGCATGAGCTGATCGCAGCGCTGTAGCTGATGCCACGCTGCATGCCTTCCCACACGAGCCCCCGGTGGCAACAGCATTCTTGCTGCCACTGTTTGCTTTCTCACATGTTCGCTACTGCCTGCCCGTGCTTGTTTCACGCCCACTCTTGAGCATCCTTCGCACGAGCTCGACCCACCGCTGCAGCTGATCGCGTCTGCTTCCATAGCCCTCCGCTGGCTTTGACGATGAGCCCAGCACTGTAGCTGACGACTTTGGGCTCGGGTCCTTCCTCCAATCCTGCTACCATTACCTGTCCTTCTCGCACGCCGTGGCACCGCTACTGTAGCGAATGATGCCAGGCTCCAAACCGACCCCTCTTGACTGGAGTGGGTAGGTTTTTCCTTCGTTGACAGTTCGCCTTCTCGCCCGGTGCCCAACGCTGCAGTTGTTCGCGTCTGTTGGCATAGCCCTCCGTTGGTTTCGACGATGGGCCCAGCACTGTAGCTGACGACGTTGGGCTCGCGGCCTTCCTCCACTTCTGCTGCCATTCCCTGCCTTTCTCGCACGCCTTGGCATTTCTCGCATGAACTGACCCCAGCGTTGTGGCTGACCATGTTGACTTGTAGAGGTGTCTCGCACGACCGCATGCAGCAGCAAATCCTGCTGCCACTGCCTGCCTTCTCACACGACCCGTTCCCCGCACTGTAACTCAGAACCTGTCCCACGAGCACCTTCTCGCACGAGCGAGTCCCCGCACTGTAGCTGAGGTGTGTCTCGCAAGACCGCCGTTTGCAGCAGCTGAGTCCGCTGCCATTGCCCGCCTTCTCGCGCTAGCTGATCCTGGCGCTTCAGCAGAGATGAGTCTCTCACTCCACTCCGCGTAGCAATGCCCTTCTCGCACGCCCCGACCCCAGCGCAGTAGTTGATGACATCGGACTCTAGCTTCGACTTCCACTGCTCGTCGGGTAGCGACAGAGCCTGTCGCCGCTGCTCGCCATTCTCGCACACAGTGCCAGATGCTGCCACTGCGCGCCTTTTTGCAAGAACTGATCCCTGCTTTTTAGCTGGTGGCCCTTTCTTGCCTCCGCCTTCTCGCACACATGTGCTGCCACTGCCTACTTTTATTATTTCAGGCAGCGGTCCGAGCATGGTAGCTGATGGCGTTTGTGCATGGTTGTTCACACACTTGTTGCTCCCATCGATGCTGCTGATGTTGTTTGGCTCGTGCTTCGGCGCCGGCGGCGCCTGGTCGTTGATGTTGTAAGTTCAGGAGGTCTTTAGTTTGGCCCCCCCCGATTGCTCTCGGCGGGGACTGCTCTCGCCCCTCCGCCTTGTCGTCGTTGCGGCGGAGATCAGTTTCCTTCTATTGTGGGGTGGGCTGGACAATGTTGGGGTTTGCTGCACCCAGGGAATCATCCACTGTGGGTTACCCTACACGCGAAAGGATGTGTGAACATCTCCCCATGAGGATAACAGTAGGAAGGTGCATTGTTTTAACTCGCGAGCTTTCGTAGTCGCAGTCGTACTCGTAGTTGTAGTCGTACGAGTAGTCGTGGTCGCTAACTATTGGTTGTGGTTGTGGTTGTAATCGCGATTGTAGTCATGGTTGTGGTTGTGGTTGTGGTTGTAATCGTGAGTGGATTCGCGAGTGTACTCGCGTTTATAGTCGTAATCGCAGTCGTGGTTGCAGTCGTAATTACAGGCGTCATCGTAGTCGTAATCATAGTCGTAGTCACCGTCTTCGTTGTTGCGCGGCGTCTGCTGCGGATAAAGAGCTATTTGCCATTATTGGTTTGACCCCAGTCCGTCAATAAGGTCTCCGAAAGGGCAAGACGTTTCGAACTATTGCGGGCTGATGGCGTTGGGTTCCGCTGGTGTTGTCTCTGATGCCTGCCCGTGCACGTCAGTGCTCAGCCACTCCCAGAGCTGCCCACGGCTGCCGCGGAGCGTGCTCGGGATGCGAAGTCTTGAAGATAAGAGTCGAACTGGAGGGTGCATTCGGAGCTCGCGTGATGGCGGGCAAGGGTGCGGGAACGGGAGGGCGCGATTGGTCGGAGAAAGAGGAAGTGGCCATTGAAAGGCTGCGAACCTTGCGGCTGGCGTGGTCTCAGCGTTGTAGCCGAGCGGGGCCGCCACCGACTGGATGGGCCCTCGATGGCAGTGCCACTCCCAAGTCGGCCATCGAAACTCGGGCCCCCTCCCCGAGAGGAATGGCTTGAGCCAGCAGGGCGGACTAGGAGGGCGAGAGAAGGGTGAGGAGGAGCAGGAGCAGGGTGAGGAGGAGGAGGAGGAGGAGGAGGAGTAGGGGGAGGAGGAGTCCTGTTCCACTCTGTCAGCTTCCCAGTAGGCGTAGGCTCCTGGCTCCGCAGCCAGGCCGGGGCTGGGCCTGCCAGCGGAGCCGTGGCCGATTTCTCGGACGCATGCTTGCGGGGCAGCATCGGCGCTGGGAGGGTGCGGGAGCGGGAGCTCAAAGGAGGAAAAGGTACCGATACGGCTACCCTTCCCTCGTTGTCGCCCTTTGGGGCTTCCCAGGAGGCCCCCCCCTCGCCACCGCTGGATCTCTGAATTCGCCTCGAAATTATGGTCAACATGTATTCTGGGAGAGGTCTGGGGAGTAGAGGTATCGGTAATTCTTGGTTCCCCCCAGCAGCGGGAGTAGGAGAGTCCGCGCGGTTCTCGTTGTTCAGAGCAGATGTCGTGGTGTGGCGTGGGTTGCGTCCTTCTTCTGTGCCATTGCCTGTTTATTGAAGACGCCCACGGCGAGTCTCCGTCGACCCCACCCCGCCGTGTCGTGAAATGTCGTGCGACACTGCGGCCTTGATGGTGGACTTCTTGTTTCCCCAGCTGTTGGGGTGACCACCGGATGAGCAATCGTGGGTACTTAGCGGATGGTCTGGTTGGAAACAGCTGCGGGTTTTCTGTGGGACACCTTAAGGGCAGTGATTGTGCAATGTTGCAAATGCTTGATAACGTCTTGCATTGGTCTGACATCTGGGCGTAGCGCTGGCACTCTCTCTCGGGGCCTTTTCAGGGGCCGCCTTGGTGCTTCTTAGTTGCACCTGGCGACCTCTGCGGAACCTCCGAAACTTCGAGGAATTTGGGGAGGTCTTTGGAGGCCCTGCGGGTTCCAGAAAGCCGTGCGAGGCTTCTGGGAGGCTTTCGGAAGCTCTGACAACTCATGAGCTATGCAAGGCTCCGGTCGGGCCTAGGCTGCCTTGCGAGGCTGGAGGGGGAAGGTCCAGGAGCATCGTAGACGTGCGAATCCATCCTAGAACGTGAATCACGAAGCGATTACCGTTTGGATTTCAAGGCCGTATCGCGCGTCGATCAGCGATCGAACGCACCAGATGCAGTGTTCGGTGTCAGTTTGGAAACTCAGAAGCCATCGAGGCAGCTCAAGTGAGCGCAAGCACAACACACGATGGCCATCCAGACTCTGTCAACAGGCCACATGTGGCCACGGCACATGCTGCGGAAAAAACACCCGATGCCGTCGTGCCCTCATGCGGAGCCCCAGGTATGTTGCTAAGTGGGCTCGCCCGCGTGGGGCCGCTGCACTTCGCGCCCCATGTGCAGTCCACGGTGTCTGTGCTGTGTGTATGCGCGCTCTTGGCCGCTTGAACGTCCCATGCGCTTTTCTCATCAACCGTCGGGGCCCACCCCTCAGCTCCGCGCGATCGACCAACCGATTGACCGGTATGGATAGTCTTTGAGGGTCTGCGATGAACGGGTGCAGGCGAGATGGAGAGAAGGTTGACGGGACACGTAACATGTGTGCTGTTACACGGTAGGGGAGGCACCGTCGCTTTTGCGATGGCAATGCGAACAGTGGCGCGACGTGGTGGTGGGCATTGGGAGGGGGTGTTGTTGCACCACCTTTTTTCTATCCAGACATTTCCCTGTGCAGTGCTGTGCCGTCATGGGTTTGGGACTCTTACCGTCCACTCCTTATCTCGGTGCTTCCAGGTCGCGTGCTCTCCCGGTGCCATGTTTGCTTTGATTCATACGCCACGTCTCGATTCTTCGTTTCTGAGTACATGACAGCCTTCCCGATCGGAGGGCAGGTGCATGGTATTGGATGGTCCTTGCAGGTTATGCAGCGTGGCTGGCCGCATGGTGGCAAGACCCTCCAAGCCTGACGCAGCCTGCCTTGTGATAATGTTCTGGTGTCCACGATGCTAGTTGGAAACCTCTTGCAGTCAGCGCCTCAAATATAACCTGCAGTCAGACCTGGTTTCGGCCATGCCCCTCAACGTTTCAAGGCTCCTCAGACGCCTTCTGAGAAACATGCCCTGGTGCGCCCTGGAGAGTTCCAAGGAGGCGCTATCTGCGCGGTGCGTAATATGATTCCCCCTGAGAAGACCAAGGGCGACCCATTTTAACAACAAGCATCGCACTATAGCTGCGGGTGTCGGGGATGTGATGGTTCTTTCCCCAGTGGCCAAAAGGTGATGTACTGCTACGTCGCAGTTCGAATCATTCCCGCGCTTCCCAAGACAATATCCGCCAAAACCGATATTGAGCTGAGTTGAGGAGCGCAGGCTTCGTGACGGAGAAGAAGCACCAGTCTCGGGAGTGTACTATGTACCTTCAGGTGCCTGCGTGTCAAAGGTATGCCTTCATGCGTGAGGCTCCGTCTTGTTTGTCCGGATCGCGTGCACATGCACTGATTCGTTCATGTACGCTATTTGCTTGCTGGTTGCCAGGGTGGTGCGCTGATGCTTGTCGTGTCCTCGGCATCGCAGCCGCAAGCCTTCCCAGTGCCGATCAGGTGGTTGGTCGCCATCCTGTTCGAGCCGAGCCAGGCCGAGAAGAGGGACGCCTGATGGCCGCCGGGCTCTCGCAGAAGAGCTCTCCTTGCCGCGCCTCCAGAAAATGGAAGCATGTCGATCGGCCGCGCGCCCGCGCCACTCCTCGCATCGCAGTTCAGCCTTAAGTCGGGCATGCCCCTCCACATGAGGAGCACTCAATAATATCAAAAAAAAATCAGGAGACGATTGTTCGACTGTGTTTGACCGTGTTGGAGTATGTTTCAACTATGTTTTATGTTTCGTTCAAAACCACTTGTAATTAGGAGGACACGCCCGACCTAGTTGCAGCCCCTCCCCGCTCTCAGGGCTGGCCTTTTCCCTCACGACAGGTCCCTTGCCCGAGGCTTTCTCGTCATGCCGACTGATATCTCTTTCTCTTTGCATTTTCTGTTTCCCCTCTTTCCTCCTCCTCCTCCTCCTTCTCCTCCCCCTCCCCCTCCTCGTGGTCGATCGCTGCTCCTGCCCACTTTTGGATATATATATATATATATATATATACATCGATGTATATGTGTAGGTATGTATATAATTGTCTTGTTCCGAGCCTCCTGGGGCAGCCTTGGCCACATAACCATCGAGTGCTGCAGCGTCCACCGAGCATCGCCTGGGCGCGTTGTCGTCGCAGGTCGCGCGGAGGCGCGTCAGTGACGCCAAGAGGGGATTCACCAGTCGGGCCAACCAGCAGCTATCCGAGTTATGCCAAGGACGTGACGGAACGAATTACCACATCCGATCCACATATTCAGACTTTCACAGACCTGGAGCATCAACAGATGAAAGGCTATGTGTGCCCCAATTTTGGGGCCACCTTATTATCAACCTGGATATCCCTTGAGGCCCTCTTAGAGCTGCTTTTTGTCCTCTTGGGGCTTTGAGGTATTCTTGGGAGTTGCATGAGTTGGTTGAGGTCCTATCTTGCAGATCGTAAGGCGTTATTTTGCCTCAGGACCCCATGTTCGGCTATCCTGAGGCCTCGCAGGCAGGCGCTAGTCAGACCGAAGAAGCGAGGGGGAAAAACCCAGTCGACGAGAAGAAAGTCCCTGCCCGAAGAGGCGAGAAGGCGACACGAGATCGACGAGAAGACGTTCCCGGCCTGATCCTCCTCCTCCTTCTCTTCTTTCTCCTTCTCCTCCTCGAATCTCTTCCTCCTCCTCCTCCCCCGTCCTCCTCCCCCGTCTTCCGTCGTTCTCCGTCCTCCTCCTCCTCTCGTTGCCATCTTGGCTCAATCCATGTTGGCACAAGCCATTTTGGCGTAAGACCTCCTGGCCGAGCGTTCGGCGCGGGCTTCGCGGAGGGCCGCGATGCCGTCTGGCTTGAAGAACAGGCAAGAGGAACAGGGTATGCCACTGACTTGAAGTACAAGCTGGAGAGCAAGGTCCAGGTTAGGCGTACAAGTTTGAAGCTTGATTTCTGGCCTTCAAGAACGGTGCGATCGGTTTAGACGTTGCCTGACACATGTTCCTTTATCTCCCAGCCATCCCTTCTCTTCCTTCCTCTTGGCCAGAGCGGTAGCGCACGTCGACCCTCTTCTCCCGCCCGCCCCTAACTCCCCCGACTCCACCGGTTGTAGGACCAGCCGGAGGGCGTGGAATCAGTTATTTGAGACACAGATCTTCAAGATGAGTTTGTCACGTGGCCGTCTTCCTCCACATGCGTGGAATATACGTAGAGGATACAAGTGAGAGAAGAAGCTCCCAACAGAGACATCAGTCATGTTTCTTTGAAACCAGTTTGCAGATGGGCAGCATTTCGACCGAAGCGTTATCAAATCCTCCGTCCTCCTCTCCCGCCTCCTCCTCCTCCTCCCGCTCTTCTTCCTTCTTCCCCTCCTCTTCTTCCTCTTCTCCTCCTCCTCTCTCCTCCATTCTCCTCCTCCTCCTCCTCCTCCTCCGCCTCCTCCTCCTCATCCTCCTCCCTCCTCCTCGATCCTCGATCCAGGCATCCTGGGTCCTCGCTCGATCCAGGATCAGATGCGATGATGACGATGACGATGATGTTCATCGTCATCGTCACCGTCGTCGCCCCGTCTCCGTCCCCCTGGCCCCTGCCCGCCCGGCGTGCAGGACGCGGCCCAGCGGACGGCCCAGCGGGCCCGCAGCGGGCTCGCCGCCGCCTCCTCCGGCTGGTCCTGCCCTTGGGGGAGGGGCGGGGGGGGGGGAGGAAGGCGGGGGAGGAGGGAGGCGGGAGGGGGGAGGCGGGGGGAGGGAGGCGGAAGGGAGGGAAGGAGGGGGAGGGAGGAGGAGAAGGAGGGAGGAGGGGAGGGGGAAGAAGGGAGGAGGAGAAGGATGAGGAGGAGGAGCAGGGGGAGAAGCAGTAGGAGGGGGATGAGTGGTGGAGGAGGAGGAGGAGGAGGAGGAAGAGAAGAGGAGGAAGAGAAGAGGAGGAGATGGAGGAGGAGAATGAGGAGGAGGAAGAGGAGGGCAACGGTCGTGGCTCGAAGCTTGGATCCTGGGCGATGGGGCCCCGAGGATGTGAAAGTGCTTCCAGGCTGACTTTGCATCATTGTTCGCGGCCTCCGATCCCTTGTGGCCCCTGGTCTCGGGGGAACGGTTTGGGCTTCGAGGCTCAAGGTTTTCAGACGTGCAGGTCGGTTCCCGGCGCCCTTCCAGCCTCGGGATGCCTTCCAGCAGCTGTGCCTCGCCGAGGGCGCTGCGGGGGTGCCCGGATCGTCCCGCACGGCCGCTGGAGACCAGGGTTCTGACCCGAAGAGCTCGGCGGGGGAGGAGGCGTTCAGGCGCAACGTTGGGCGGGGGGATAGGCTCAGGGGGAACGGATCGATCCCCCAATCGCGAGTTCATCGCCAGCTCGGGCCCGACAGCCCACCTTGCCTAAGGCCGTGCGGCTTCGTTGTCGGAGGCCTATCGCCGATCGCACGGCGTCGTCGCCGATTCCAGCTCGTCGCTCCTCCCGGAGCTGGTCCCCCTGTCGATCCCTTTCAGAATGGGGTCGAAGGGGTTGAGGACCGGGGAGGTGGAGGGGAAGGGCGAGTGGGAGGTAGAAAGCAGGAGGGGAGGCAGGACTAAGTCAAGAATAAGAAAGGAGAACGATGAGGAGGAGGAGGAGGAGGAGGAGGGGGAGAAGGGGGGGGAGGGGGAGGAGGAGGAGAAGGAGGAGGAGTTCCCATGTGAGATTTCACCTCGTAAGAGGGTACCGATCGCAGCACTAGTACTACCACCGTTTGATCCTCAGCGAGGTGGAGCAGAGACAAAACCGATTCAGGGTCTGCTCCAGATTGTCAGCTGTAGTGCCTGTGTACTGCAGCTTTCGCGGCTCAACCAAGCAGGGGAAGGCCGTCTTCTTGTGCAGATATCTGGTACCTTCGCCGTAAATATTCGCGTGAAGCTGCCACGTTGTGCAGGCGAACGAACCCAGCGGACAGACAGTAGGCCACCGCATCGCCATATAACGCTCGGCAGCGCAAACAAAGAACACCAGCGGTCTGAACATGGCTGCACAGTGTGCCGCATATGGGAGGTGCTGCCGTTTCCGCTTGCAAATGAGCTTCCGCGTTCGAGACCCAAGAAGTATTTGCACACATGTGGTCGCCGTCCCCGTATCGGTGTCAGCAGAGCTCCGAAGCATATCTTCCAATGGCCATCATGGAGGCTCAGGTCCAGTCGTCGAGAGCGCGCCATGAAGGACCACGAGCGACGGCATCACGATCTCCATCGGCAGACCGACTGCAGCCAGCACTACCAAATCGCCTATGGCCTGTGGCCGTTGTCTCGAGCTGTCGTGTCGGCGACGGTAGCGCGTCCCGAGCAGAAGAAAACAGCGCACGTGACGATCTCACTGAGCGATTGATAATTCAGATGTTGGCCAAGCCACCGTCAGTCTCTGAAAATGGAACGCGCAGTCGGGGACTACCCACCTATCATGGGAACATGCTTTTGGTCAGGCGTATGTTTCACCAGCTATGTCTAGATTATGTGTTTGCGATGCCACTGTCCCCTACTTCTCCCCTCTTCCTCTTTCTACTAGTTTCTCCCCCTCCGAGCCTGCAAGTCAACCTTGACCATCCTCACAGATGTCGTTCCGCAACTAGGCTTGCCTAAGCGGTTCTTGCTTGCTTGTGGAAAGACTGGTGGGTTGCCCCGTTGCCCAGTTGTCCAGCGTTTCTTGGTGTTGCTTGGTTTCTGGAATGCCAAGCCGTGCCTAACAACGCCAGGCAGTTCCCCGGGCTGCCCGGCTGCCTGGTGTTCCCCGGGGCTGCCCCGTTCCAAGCAGTTCCAAGCGAAGCATATCAATGCCAAGCAGTGCCAAGCAATGCCAAGCAACCCGAGCATTGCTTGCGATGCCAAGCAATGCCCAGCAACGCAAAGTTATGCAAAGGAATGCGAAGTTATGCCAAGACTCGTTTTCGCCCTCGCCTCCATCTCCCACTGCCTGTGTACTTTGTGATTGGCCCCTATTCGATCTCTTTCTGGGGACTGGCATCGCTGCAGCACGAGCGCGCTGTCCCAACACAGTAAAGATGACTGGGATAGACCCTCACACGCTCTCTCTTGCCGGCGCGTCTCAAAATCCCTTCCGCCGCTTCTCGTCGCTCCCTGGATCCCTGGTGCCCTCTTGGTTTGCTGTATCTGTCTCTCTCTCTCTCTCTCTGTACCGCCCCAGTTGTTGTTCATTCAGGTTCCCTCGGTTTCGCTTCTCTTCCTGCGTTCGCATGTCGAATATCCTTTTTCTCCCATCAAGTGCATACCGTGCGTTCTCTCTGTAGTTGATGCTCATTTCCCCATTGTCCTTCTCTCCCTCATGCAATGTGTAATTGCCCAAGCGGGTGTCCGAAGCAGGCTTCGACGCAGGCATACCGCCCGCGTCGAAGTTCGCTCTAGCATGTGCGTCCCAAGGTCAATCGGATTCTTGGGCTGCCAGGCTTTCGGATAGCCAGGAGTGCGAAGTAACATCGTGTCCAACGAGATCCGTAAAATTTCGATATGTTAGTCTGTCTCAATCTTTGTGTAGTAGTTTTCAGGACAAGCGCGATTCATACCATATGCAAGTTCGCTTAGCCTCTGCATCAATAGAGGGGTGCTATCATCAAGTGGATCGTCAATGCGATGAGAAACGGAACGTGTAACCGATTGCAACGGCTATGCAACGCCTGCAAGTGCACAGTTGGTTACCACAGTAAACGCATGTGCCATGCTTGTTGCATAGTGTTGTCGTCTCGTGCAGGGGCCGATGTCAGGACATGGCGTAAGCATAACAGGGGTGCTATTGCGTGTTGGTGAGAGAATTGTTGTTCTGATGCATCAGGTGTCATGCGGCCTCCCAGCGTGGCTCTGGCGCCGAGGGGTATGGACAGGGGCATTGGCGCTTCTGCTGAGACGGCGAGGGCGTTCGGGAATGGCTTCGCCACATCTAGTTGCTGGCTTGTGTGGTTTGGCATCGGTCGCGCTCGGGTATGGCCATCGGAGTGCGCCGCTTTACAAGACGGTCTGACCAACGCCCGCACAGTTCGTTGTTTCGTTTTTTGTGTACTGTTTTGAGGGGGGGGGATCGTTCAGCATTTTTGTGTCTGCTCCTTGTCAGCGACGGCCGAGTTCACGAGTCGCACGGGAATTTCGTCATCACGTTCCCATGCGGTCAGTATGCCAAGCTGGGATACATACGGGGTGGCGTGCATAAGTAATTGATGGTGTGTCCCATGTCTTGGGGACGTTACGGCATGCCATATTTTTTGAAGGTTGGGCGCCTCGACGCTATGCAATACGATGTGTGGCTTGGCGATCAGCGGGGGAACCTGTCATTTCTATACTGAGGTGGGGAAGCTGTGGTATATCGTTGGTGGTATTGGGGCCGGTTGGGCGCGATGGTTCTATCGAGCTCTCCAAGAGAGGCTCGAGTGAGTCATTTTACGACCGTGTGGTCGGATCTTCAGGCCCTCTTGGAGATCTCGGGCTCGTCGTGGGGTCTTCTAGAGGCCCTCTGGGGCAGTCTTGGGTCTCTCTGGCGTCTGAGGCCGAACAGCTGGGGAAGCCAATCCACTGACACACACACAAGGTAGCATGGCCGTGCTCGATAGCTCTACGTGTCTTTGAAGGTCTTCGCGGGCTGTGATCCTAGATGTTTCTTTGAGCTGCCTTTGTCTTGCGAGTTACACGTAAAGTCCCTCCCCCCCAATCAAAACATCAACACATCCTCTGCTCTAGTGGAGCATATTAAATCCTATAGAGCGTATTTCGGTATCTTAGAGTCGTCTTGCGGCATCTTGCGAAGTTCATGAGGCGGTCTTCGACTCTTCCGAAGCAGTCGTTGGGCCGTGGAGTTCGCCAGAAGGGGGTAGCGCGTATAGTGTCGTTGGTTTCAAGCGTTTTGTGATGGCGCGGGACAGCAGTGGACACGACCGAACACCGAACAGGCCGCTAACATGCATCCTGACGCGCTCAAACATGCTGCAGGCACGGTTGCGGGTTCATTATGTTGTAGTTCATGTTGTGCATGACAGGTGTGCACATTTTACGTTGTTTGTGGGATGCACACATGCGCAACACACTTAGTCCCCGACGTCTGCCACACATTACCGTTGCATGTTTGTCTAGCGCTTGTTGTCCAGCATTGAGCGGCGCAGGCACGTGCCCATGCATTCGAACTGGTTGTGGTGTCTTCATATCTCGTGGGTTTTGGACGAGTTCATGGTGCGAAGGAAATGGTCATAGCGGTTGCGGTCTGTATTCAGTTGGGGTCTGATATCCGGGAGTGGTTAGGAGGTTGGGGTAATTCGAAGCATGGCACGCAGCACGGACGCGTTCCCCTTGAATGCAGAACATAGGTGTGCTCACCCTCACGATGGCGCCGTTTGCCACCCCACATTATACATGAGGTTATTGTGTGTCGGGGCGCAACTTTTCTGAAGTATGGAGCCGTTGTTCGTTCATGAGCGAGGTTCCGATTGCACTCTAGGTGGTGCGCTGGCGGATGACGGGCAGCGCATCCGTGGAACGCGAAGCGTGGACCTTTGTTGCAAGACTGATTTAATGCGAATTGACAGGCTACATGGTGCCTGATTGCACGTGGGCAGAATATTGACGGGGACGCGCCTTCGAGAAATGAGAAGGGTGCATCTTTGTGAAGAGTCTGCAGGGTTTCAACATTCTCTTGGGCATAATTTTCGACCATATCTGTCGATTAGAGGTAGATTGTTTGCGACTGTCGGTAGGCACCTTCGTGTAACAAAATAGGTTGGGTGTTGCGTATGCGTGTTTAGTTGCAAGGAACTACTTAATTCAACGACCGTGGTGTCGCCACCGCAAGCTATTGCCAGTGGGTTGGTGACGGGAAACGCCTTCTCGGAACGAGACGGTGGTGGAAGTGTTTCGAGCAGGTTTAACCACATATCAGCACCTTACTCAACGACACGGATGCCGCCATCGTTTTTCGTTTTTTGGTTGGTGGATGGTTGGCGAACGGTGTAGGGATATTCCCAGGCCACGCTTGACCATATTGCCATACATGGATTTGGGGGCCACTTGTTCGTGATTGCAAAACTCGTATTTGTGGACGGATGGCATGATGCGCCTTCTCGAAACGAAAAGGTGGTAGGATGTGGTTTGCCATTTTGAGCAGCAGCATTAACGGCTGATCCAGAATTATCGATGTTGACCATCTCGAATTCGTGTCTTTTCATAGTTTCGACATGCGCATGCATCTTTCACGTCCGTATGGTATGTTTCCTTCGCGTTCGATAGGCTATACTCGTAATTCCTTGTCCTCGCTCTTTCTCTCCACTCCTGGTAAGTACTATCTTCCTCCACATCCAGATCCTTGTGTCTTCCTCATCCGCCCTGATTTCTCCAAGTCCTGTGATTCCTCGTCACTCCCCATGGCCTTCGATATCAGTCTATTTCTCCTGCTCCTCCTCACACACTATCAGTGTTGCTGCTGCCGCTGCTGCTGCTCCGCCCCCTCCTCATCCTTCTCACACATCGTCTAGTCTGGAGTGCGCCTCATCCTTAGTTTCTCCTTTCTCATCCCTTATCCTACCTGTCCTTTTGCCCCTCCTCCTTACTCCTCGTCGATCCTCCTTCCCCCGCCTGCTTCACCGTACCCTTCCTCCCCACCCCCTGCCTTGTGCTCCAGGTATTCTCACCGATGCATACCATGCGTGGTCCCATCGTAGAAGGGGTGGAAGGAGGGGGAGGGCTTCTTAGAAGCACACCTGCTTAACTAGACGGCGCGGGCCTCATCTATAGATGTAGGGCCAGCGCCTTCGAAGACACAGCCTCCTTGTAAGAAGCATTCCCCCCTCCCTCCACCCCAGTGTTCGCGCCGCCAACGTATATCGCATGAGAACTCGCAGGTCTGACAGCGCACCTCGAGTGGGTCTAACAAACACGACGGGCCAGCTTGCTTTTTCACATACACTGAGATGAGGTCGGGGCGTGGGCGAAGCAGCAGAATCGTTAGTTGAGTTGCTTGCGTGTCTCACGGGTGTCTGCTTTCTTTTGGGGCGCGCATTCTGCTCGGAGTCATACCGTAAGCCCGCGGTTTGAGGGTCCAGGCGGCGGCGAAGGCAGTCCCTGGCTGCGGGGTGTTCGTCGGGAACTTGCCACTCGACGCAACGGAGCACCGCGTACGTTGCTTGCGTTTCTCCCCTCTACGTGCTGACAGCTGTTGGGCACTTACGGGGTAGTTTTGGAACCGCCGGGATATTTGGCCGCAGCTGCGCCCCGTCAAGAGGTTGCACATGGGCGCCACAGTCGTCCCAAGCCGGATTCTCGTCTGACTGTAGTTACGCCGCCCCAATTGCTACATGAGCTCACCAGTCGAATCCGAGACCCAGCCCCCACCCTCTTTACTACCTTGTCTCATCGACGCTCAGTCCGGCGTTTCTTTAGGAAGGCGAAGCCCGTCCAAGAGACCTTACAGTGGGCGGCTGCAAGTGACAAGATAGTCCCCCAAGAATGCCCCAGGTACATGTTTTTCAGCATCTTAATCTCCCTGCAATCACGTCCGAAGAAGGCACTAAGATTGGCCAGTAAGGCCCCAAGGGGGCCCGACGCCCCACTTCCCACGGACCGCTGGGGCCTCCGTGAGGCCTCAGAGGAGGTTGGGGAGCGTCTCGAAGGAGGCGCTGGCAGACGACGCAGCCCGTGGCGAGCCGACGGACCAGGGCGGCTGGGAGCGCGTTCGAAGAGTTCATGCAGATGCCAGCGACGAGGTTCACACGGCCCCTCTGTAGTATCAGTGGGGCAGGTGAGCCTCCCTGGTCTTCGGGAGTGCCTCTGGTTGCCCTGGCCATGCGCGGTTCGAGCAGCTTGCTCTGGCGCTCTCCAGGAGGGACCGATCTTGGGATAGTCGTGGCTTGTGGGGCAACGATACTTGCTCTTACTTTGTGTGCGTGGTCGACTGATGCATTCCAGCACCGCCTCTGTCGGTTATCCTCAACCTTCTCGCGCCCCTCCAGGTCCCTTTCCGCGCTGGAAGGTTCGAGTGCTGGGTCGATCTGCAGGGTCGTGCATTGTTGCCTTGAGCTCTCCGGCGCCTCGCTCTATTGTTCCCACAGCTGCGCTCCTTGGTATCGTCCATGTGCGCTTTCTCTCCCCTGCAGTCCCTGTGCTACGCGTAAAGAGTACCCAGCCGCTTGCGTTTCCACTCCGCACAGGAGTCGGAGCTGCAGACGTTCTTCGCAGAGAAGGGCTCAGCGTGCTCTTCGGCTCGCATTGTGCGAGACAAGGTGTGCCACTTGTCTCTTCGCGCGCCTTACATCTTGGGTTCGTGCTCCTCTTACCCCCCCTCATCCTCCTCCGACCTCTGTCGCGCGTTGCGTGAGACAGCGCAGACGGTCGAAGGCGGCACCGAGGCCGGTTGGCATTGGGTGAGACTCGGGCACACAATTACATTGATGTTGCTTAGTCGCATGGCCTCTCTTGCCCTGGAGGGGGGGGGGGAGACACAGATAATGATGGTAGGGGGGGCAGTGCAGGCCCATGCCAAGAAACACCCTGCTTGCCGCTTGCCTCCAGGTTGCCCTGGGTTTCATGGGTTTCGAGGGTTTTGCGATGGAAAGCGGGACGCTCCCACGAATCAAGGGACGCCCTGGGGTCTCAGGATTTGGGTTTTTTGTGGAAGGTTTCTTGTGGACTGGCCTCCACTCTACGCACGTATGCCACCTGCCGGGCCAAGGAGAGGGCGAGGCCGGACACCATAGTTGCCAGCCAGCCGCGGAGCGGCTCTGGGGCGAGACGCCCGCAGAGCGGCCGAGGTCAACAGAAGCTGCCCGCACGAGCCTGGGGAAGGCTTCGAGCGGCCCTGGGCTTATGATGTTCCAACCCACTGTAGCCTCGACAACCAGAAAGAATCTCCAACGCCAAGGAAGTGCCGAAATTGAAGGGTTTTCACGTGTCGGGCTCTGGGAGGCGGTACTCGTTCGCCATTGTTATTTTTCCGGGTGCTCGAAAATATTTCTGGGATGTGGTCCTTAAGTACGATGGGAACAACGTAGCCCTGGCCGCGCGTTCCGATGAAGCTAATCATGCCCGAGTAGCGTCGGCAGCACGCATGTGAGGCCATGGGCCATGGCCCGAAGTCTGCGTCGGAGCTGCGGCACCACCCCCGGATTGCATGCGTCGTCTGCCGATGTGGGACCTGTGATTTCAGGGTTGTGGCCTTGCTCGCTCTGCGCTCCAGATGACAGCCAGGCAAACCACAGGCTCGGAAATGTACCCAGCGCACCTCGGCGTTTGCCATCCGTTGCTTCATCACGTTGTGCGGGAGGGCGGCTCCTCCCGAGTGTACAGTCAGGCGTCGAGGCTCGACGCTCTGGCCTGGAGTCGCGACTCCAGACTACACCTTGGGCGATGCTTGAGAAAACGTAAGGTTTCGGCCAGGGTCTCGCCTTTTCTTACTGTTTCGATGTAAAGCCTAAACTTTGAATAGGAATTTTGGGTTTTGTATTCAAATCCTGAGACTATGAATTTCTTAACCCATGATTTCTTAAGCATTTCGCAGGGTGTAGAAGAAGAATCTTCAGGCCGTTCACCTCCCGCCCTCCCTCCTTCGCTCCCCGGGCAGCCAGTATAGCCGTGTCCACGCGACGGCCCATGCAACGCCGAGCAGAGCCGCGCCCTCCCAGCGGGTCTCGGCAGGTCACGAGCGTGTCGAAGGGCTACGCCTTCTGCGACTTTGAGGACCCGGCGGTCCCGCCGCAGCAGCGAGCTGGAGAGCTGGAGCCCGTCCACCGACGACCAGACATCGTTGGAGTTCCCTTCAGGGGATTCGAGCGGGCTTCGTGCACCTTGCCTCCTCCTGAAGGGCCTGGCCCCTCCCCCTGGCCGGTGTCCTCGCCATCAGCCATCCTCGCCCCTGTGTGGTGCCCCATTCCCATGGACCCGGGTTCTCGAGCGTGGGCTGAGGCTCATCTGCTCCTCTCGGAAGGGACTGCCCCTCCCTCTTCTCTCTTCTCCCCAGAGACTCGTCTGTCCCCACCCCCCTCGCCCCAACCCGATCTCACAGCCAGGCCCGTCCCATGACCCCTGAGCTCAGTGGAAAGCCAGGACCAGATGGCCCCGGCTTCTTCGAGGATCAGTATTCGAGGCATGGGCTTGCGAACGGAGCATGCCTGCCCGCAGTGCCTCGTGTCGGGTCGCGCCGTGGCGTGTCGTGCCGCGTGCGGCCCCCAGGTTTCATCTCGGGTGTGTTGATGTCTCTGGTGTTGGTTTGTTGTCAACGACGCCTGGCGGCGTGACACCGCATGCCTACTTTAGGCATTTTCGGATGGGGTCGGAGCAAGCGGGGTCGGAGGACCGCGCCACGTCGCCGATGCATTGGGGATGCGGCGCGATGTGGAGCCCGATTTTCTCCACGCCAGCGTCGCAGATGCATCGCCGACGTCGCTGATGCATCGCCGATGTATCGCCGATGCATCGCCGATGCATTGGCGATGCGGCGCGATCCTCAGCCCCCATCTCCTCGGACCCGGGGGCGTTATATTTCCCACGTGCGGCCATCATCAGGCCTTCCTCTGGCCTGCAGGGCTCCTGAAGGGCCTGCTTGGGTCCTTCGAGGCACTCCTGGCGCCCGGCAGCTTCGAGGGAGCCTCGGGGCCAGGATCCTCGACGAGCTTCCTTGGTGCCTCGCTCCTGGGCCTCGCTGGGGGCCAGAAGTTAGTGGGCGCTCCGCGCGTGGCAGCTGCAGGACGAGCGGGCGCAACGGCTCAGGGATGCGCCGCTGCATCTCCAGAAGATGCTGGCTGGCGCCCCTGGCATGCTCGCGCGGGAGATGCGCGCGCGCGCTGCGCGCACGATGCGGCGCTCGCCGAGCGTGGGCCCAGCGCTCTGAACAGATCCACCTCGCCCTCTCCAAGATGGCGCCGCCCGATTGGTCCGGCTACCTCTGGGCATCGACACTGGCAGACGCAAGCGCCAAGCGCGCGACGAAGCCGCAGCCGCTGCGGGGGGGGGGGTCCTCGCCAAGGCGTCTGTGGCTCGGCGGCTGCCCGTGCGAGAGGGGCAGTCCCGGGACTGGCCGCGCGCGGCGGGTCGGCAATGTTTTCCCGCGCGGGGGGCCGATCCAGCGACGGGGCCCCGTGATGCCGTCGAGCTCGAGACGGTGGACAATTTCATCTCGTTGCTCCCCCGCTCGCGTGGAGGGCGAGCGTCGCGCAGGCCTGGCGGAAAGTCCCGCTGCGGTCGAATTCGCTGGAAACGGCGCGGGTGGTCCTTAGCCGCGCGGGGGGCCGATGGTCGTCGCAGCGCGGGTCAGTGGCGTTTGGGTCCTCTCGGCCAACTGTGGACTATGGACGGCGCCGGCTCGGCGTTGGACTTTCTCGCCCGCGGGCAGGTGCGTCGATGATTTCTTCCGGCGCGACCCGCGCGACTGCGAGTTCTGGCGGCGCGTGCTTGACGGCGGTCTGCAGGCCCCCCTGCTTCGAGACGGATGCTTCGCAGGACGGCGACCAATCTCTGGACGTCGCGGGCTGATCTGCGTCAGCTGCCGTGGGCGCAACCAAAACGGCACGGTGGAGGGCAGAGCTGACCCAGACGCGGGAATCTCGGCGTTAAGTTCTTGACCCGGCGGCCATCCGCTCAGTTATCGGTGGGCCTCGCTGTCCGCGACGCTGCGTGGGCGCGAACAGACGCCAGTGGCGAGGATGCCTGCCTGGTTTGGGCGCAATAGCATTCGCGGGCGGCCAGTTGCACCGCGCCCCCACGGGCGCCAGCGCCGCGGTCGTGGACCAGCTGCTCATGAGATCTGCACGAACGAAATGGGTACGGGAAGAATGGGTAGAACACCCAACAGCAGTTCCTGTTCATTTTGAACAGGACTCGCTGTCCACGCCGCCGCGGCCTGTGTCCATTTGAGACGGAAGGCCGCCTGCCCAACAGCGGCCGCTGTTGGTCTGAGACAACATTTGTTGCTGGGCATTGTGCCCATTTTTTCCGTCGCCATTTCGGGCGTCCAAACTAGAGGCACGGACCAGATCGATTTTCCCGAGATGCTCGCGGCGGTCCTTTTCGGGCACGCGCTCGCCAAGCTGATGTCCAAGAAGGCCGTCGTTGTGCTCGTGCACAACAAAAGCGAATTTGGTTGCCTCGTCAGAACCTGCTTGCCGGCAGTCTGTGGCTGCGTGCGGTTCAGTGGCCGTGGGCCCCGTCATGGGCTCGCGTAGAGTCTGCTGCCAACATCGCCGACGGCCCGTCTCGTCGGGAGCGTGGCTTGGTCAGGCACGTGGGCGCTATTTGGGTAGGGCCCTCGCTGCCTGCAGAGCTCGAGATTGTGCGGCGTCTGGGTCTGGGTTTATTGGTTGAATGGAAAATGCGCGGTCGCCTCTCGCGTCCGCCCCCCCATTGCCCCGGCGGCCCAGTGGCGCATTGCTTGTGCTGGGCGGGGCGGGGAGCGGCGAGCGGGCTGCGGGCGGCGATGTTTGCTCGCAAGTCGCGTCCGTGGCCGCGCGTGCCCAGCTCGCTCGCCCCACCCCTTCTCCTTTCGACGGCTGAGGGCGTTTTGCTTCGCGTGGAAAATGTGCGCCGCAAGCGCGTGGCGGGGCGGCTCTGCGGCGCGGCGCGCGATGCTTTCCGGCGGGGCGAGCGCGGCCAGCTGCGGGGCGTTGCCGCGTTCGCGGCAGGCGTCGCGCCCGCGCGGCGCGCGTTGGCCGGGGCCAGCGCGGGCCGCTTGGCATCCGACGCAGCGCTGCGGGCAGCGGGCGGCGCAGCGGCTGCGACGCGCGCGAATCAAGCGTCGCGGGACAGGAAGGCCGCGCTCAGACTCCATTGCCCCCGAGGGTGGACAGAAAAGCCATGCAAGGCAAGGCCGTTTTCTGACTTGAGGCGACAAAGTACGTGGATTACGTGGACATGCTGGACAAGCGGCTCCAATCAGTCGACGACGCGCCGTCGGGCCCAGCGCGCTGCGGGAGGGTCGCGGCCGCGCTCGTGGAGCATGGCCTTCCTGCCCTGCGCTTAACCGAGATGGAAAGATTCCTTCGTGCGGTATGGCGCTCTTCGGGCGCGCTGCGCCCCTCGTCTGGCACGAGAAGAATGACGAAAACATAAAACATGTTGGAATTGAAACAGAACCACGAAACAAGAGGATGTTTATTTGACACAAAAACGCGACACCTCTGAAAAACGATGCTTGTGACGAATTTGAAACTGAAAAGCGATGCTTCTGAAAAACGATGCCCGTGAGAACCACGCTTCGGAGAAAACAATTGAGATCGCGGCGTCGGATGTCCCGGGCAGAAATGGATGGGAAAGAAGGGAGGAGAAGCAGGAGGAAGAGGATGAGGATGAGGAGAAGAGTGGCGGAAGAGAAGAATAACAAGAGGGGCCCGGAGTGCAGTGGCAGTAGAATTTAAAGAATGGGGGCAGTGTCGCGTTGACGTAGTGACAGCACATGAAGCAGCACATGAAGCAGCACCAACAGTCGCAAACACATCTTATGTATGTTATGTATGTTATTCTTATGTCCAGTATCAATTGGACATATGGGTGCACACCAGTGCTAAGTTGCCAGATCAGTAGAAGCGGCGTATCAGCCGTTGTAATAGTTGCAGTAGAGAGTGGTTGTACTGGTTGAACATGGTGGGCACGCTGAGAATGGTTTTTGGCAGTCCTGGGGCCCCGAGGATAAAAGATGTTGCATGTCCAGAAAACGATGTTTGGAAACGATGGGGAAACGGTTTTGACATGTGCTGGGGTGTAGTAAGCGTCGTCGTTCGATCGCTTGGCCAAGCGATAGCGAAGGCGCAACCCATGCGGGAAGGCAACGAATTGCCGTTAGGGAGGAAACCTCCTCCCTGTCCTCCCCCCTCTCCTACGCGATGGCCTTGAGATCCTGTTTTGTAATTGCAGCATGTTTTAATTAAAACCACTGGCTATCCGCTGCACGTCTGAAACGATGTCCTCATACAAAATATAATTTTCTCATAACGGAATTCCACGTCGCTAAGCCTTCAGAAACGAAAATATCGATCTCAAACCCAACGTTCGTAGGCGGTCCGGGGAGCTTGGCACGCAACGACTGGCAGTAGGAGTAGGAGAAGTAGTAGCAGTAGAAGAAGGATAATTAGAAAAGGAATAAGAAAAAAGAGAAAGTAATCGTATTAGAGATAGTAGTATTAGTAGTATTAGTAGTAATATTATTATTATTATTAGTAGTAGTAGTAGTTGTAATAATAGTAGTAGTAGTAGGTAATAGTAGTAGTAGACGTACACGTAGTCGTAGTCGTAGGCGTAGTAGTAGTAGTAGTATAGTACTAATACTAGTACTAAGTAGTAGTAGCAGTAGCAGTAGTAGCAGTAGCAGTAGCAGTAGCAGTAATAGTAGTAGTAGTAGTAGTAGTAGTAGTAGTAGTAGTAGTAGTCGTAGTCGTAGTGGTAGTGGTAGTAGTGGTAGTAGAAAAGAAAGTAGTAGTAGTAGTAGTAGTCGTAGTAGTAGTAGTAGTAGTAGTAGTAGTAGTAGTAGTAGTAGTACTAGTACTAGTACTAGTACTACTACTAGTACTAGTACTAGAACTAGAGCTAGTACCAATGTAGTACTAGTACCAATAGTAGTCGTAGTAGTTGTAGAATTAGTAGTAATAGTAGTAGTACGAGTAGTAGTAGAAGTAGTAGTAGTAGTAGTAGTAGTAGTAGTCGTAGTAGTAGCAGTAGTAGTAGTAGTAGTAGTAGTAGTAATACCTATTACT